ACTCATGGGGAACCAGCAGTTAGCGTAATGGCTATGTCGCTGGACTCCCACGTAGTCGACTGCAGTTCGCGTCCCGGACCTGGTGGCTTAAAACTCACGCCGGGCACATGTGCGTGCGTGCCCAAGATCCCGAGAGGAGAATGGAGGAGAAGGGATTGCGGTGTGACCATCCCCCCTGGGGGGTGATTTCTTGCTTTCTGTCTCTCTGTCTCTCTCTGTCTGTCTGGCGAGCGCACGTGCCCTATAGCGAAAATCTCTCAAAAAAAAAGGAAAACCACTCATGTGCTTGAAGCAGGTGTATTACACATTTGAACCAAGGTTCTTCTATCAGAAACCCATGTGTTTGTGGCGTTAGGCTTTGGCACCCGAGGAATACTCACATTGAAGGTACTGGCTAGCCCCGAACTGAAACTGCAAAATGACGTTTTCATTATAGTTTGCCAGAGATGAAACCTAACATTTGCCATGATTTTAGACAAAAAAGAGACCTGGTCTGCCTGGATGAATGAAGTCCGGCGGGGCTGAGATTAATGTTACAGAGTGTATCCTAACAGTGTTGTTGGGTAAAGAGCATGCTGTGAGACTAAATTTTTATTTTTTTGGTTCCAATGGAGTAGATCTCTTGGCTGTTACCTGACTCTCAGTTCTCATCAGATACCTTTATTTGTGTTGTATTTCCTTATGATTTGATCCCTCTAGATAATCCTGAATGGAAATGTTCTTTTTCTGCAGTTCTCCCCCAAAGTGTATCCACTTCCAGTTCCTCTATTTCCTGTCTTTTTGTGTGTGTGTAATAATTTTTACTCTTTAGCTCATGTTATCTTCTTTCTCCTGTTCTAATTAATTACGCTGTAAAACACAAGCAAAGCCATAGGTGAGAGAGGGATGGTTCAAAAGAAAAAATTGGGACTAACAGATGGCGTAATGGCTATGTCGCTGGACTCCCATGTAGTCGACTGCAGTTCGAATCCCGGACCGAGTGGCTTAAACTCACATCGGGCGCATCTGCATGCGTGCCTAAGATCCTGAAAGGAGAATGGAGAAGGGATTGCAGTGTGGCCATCCCCCCTGGGGGGTGATTTTTTACTTTCTGTCTCTTTGGTGAACTCATGCGCCCTATAGCAAAAACCTCTCCAAAAAAAACATAGTGTTTTAAAGCTTGGTGCTTGATCTAAAACTATTTTCCCTGTGCATATTTATAAGCAAAGTAGCTCACGTGTGCTAATCTGATTTCCTTCCTGTTTATGTCATCTAACACACAAATAAAAATAGCTGCCCCTGCCAAGGCTCCAAACATGTGAACGAGCCGGCTAGTATAGCCCATTCACCAGGTGAACAGTCACTGAATGACTCCAGTTGGCACCACATGGGGTAAAAGAATCACCATAATGAGCCCTTTCCAAATTCCTGACCCACAAAACCCTAAGATATAATAAAACTTTTTTTTTAAAAGTTAATTATTTTTATATACTATATTGAAGAAGGCAAGAGTATATTTTAGAATATTCACTGTGTTTTCATTCTGTATTTTCTATTTCTATTTTTTATTCTGCATTTAAAGTTAATTAGACTATATATTTTAAAGTAATTTCTCTGTTGAGTGTCTAAATACATCATTTGCTGGGGTTTTTTTGCAGAATCTTCTGTATGATGTGAGGTGTTGGTTGTGTGTGTTTTTGTTTTATTTTGATTTTGGTTTTTGCTGTCTTCTAATGGCTCACTGTAACATTTAGATCCTCTAACCTAAATTATTAATTCGGATTTATTTCTTTTTAAGAGTCTTCAGGAATTTTTTTTTTTTTTTTTTTGGTGAGGTTTTCGCTATAGGACGTGTGCACTCGCCAGACAGAGAGACATAGAGACAGAAAACGAGAAATCACTCCCCAGGGGGAATGGTCACGCCGTAGTCCCTTCTCCTCTCGGGATCTTGGGCACGCACGCACACATGCCCAGCGTGAGTTCTAAGCTACCGGGTCCAGGACGTGAACTGCGGTCGACTACGTGGGAATCCAGCGATGTAGCCATTACGCTATCTGCTGGTTCCCATTCAGGGAATTTTCATAACCTCTTTCGTACTCTGTTCTGGCTGAGAACCAGTGAAGACCTAGGTATGCATCCTGGCTCTCTGTTCACCCCTGGCTGTGTGATTTTGAGAAAACTTCCTATCTCTGTTCACTTTTCTGTAGGAAGGGGGTAACTATAGTAGTGACTTCATAGGGTTGTTGTGAGGAGTAAATAGGGTAAAATATTGCTATACCTGTATACACAGTGCCCAGCGCTAGGCCAACACTTATGTTTCAGCTTTTACTGTAATACTATAGACCCAGGGGTTGATAACCCTTTTCTGTAAAGGGCCATGTCGTATAAGTCTTTCACGCTTTGAAGACTGTGCAGTTTCTGTTGTAGCTACTCAACTCTGCCTTTACACAATATCTAAATAGATAGGGCTGGCTATGTTTCAATAAATCTGTTTATAAAAACAGACAGTAGGCCATATTTGGCTGATAAGGTATAGTTTGTTGACTGCTATTCTAATAGACTAAGAAAACTATCAAATGAAACTAAGGTATGGAAAATATTAAGAATTGAGTTTCAGCTCTTCTGTGAAATGGATTATCAAGAGAATTTGGGTTGATTGAAAAAATCACTTTACAGGGCAAGCAGGTGGCATGGTGGTAAAGGCTTTGGACTCCCACATGGCTGACTACAATTCGAGCTCTGGATCTGGCAGCTTGCTTTCTCACTTTGCCCCACTTCTCTCTGTCTCTTTTTGATGAGCCCTGTAGCAAATTAAAAAGTAATAATAATGGTACATAATATTAAGTAATTATTACTATTTTTAAAAAAATCAGTTCACATTAGGACTAGCAGATGATGTAATTGTTATGTCGGTGGACTCCCATGGAGTTGACCATGGTTTGAGTCCCAGACCCAGTGAATTAAAACATGCTGGGTGCATGTGTGTGAGTGCCCAAAATCCTAAGAGGAGAATGGAAGAGAAGGAATTATGGTGTGACACCCCCCCACCCCAGGTGTGATTTCTTGCTTTCTGTCTATCTGTGTCTCTCTCTGGCAGGCACACACACCGCATACTGAAAATCTCTCATCAAAAAAAAAATTCAGTTTACATTGGGACCAGTAGATGGCATAACGGTTACATCGCTGGACTCCCATGTAGTTGACTGCAGTTTGAGTCCCGGACCTGGGGGCTTAAAGCTCACACCGGTTGGGTGTGCACATGGGCTCAAAATCCCAAGAGGAGAATGGAGGAGAAGGGATTGCGGCATGGCCATCCCCATTGGGGGGGTGGGGGGGTTTCTCACTTTCTCTATCTCTGTCTCTCTCTGTCTCTCTAGCTAGCTCATGTGCCCTATAGCAAAAATCTCTTAAAAAAAAAAAAAAAAGTTTACAGGACCAGCAGGTGACAGGGTGGTTAAGGCACTGTACTCCCACATGGCCAATCACAGTTTGAGTCCAGGACCTAGCAGCTTGCTTTTACTGCCTCCCTCTCTCTCTCTCTCTCTCTCTCTCCCTCTCTCTCTCTCTCTGGTATATA